CCTCCTCCTCACCAGTGACACCCAAGAAGACTGCACCAAAGGCACCAAGGCCCTCCTACAGCTCCTGTCAGACTCGGGATACCAGGCCTCATGGAAGAAGGCAGAAATCTGCCAGCAACAGGTCCGATACCTTGGTTTTCTCCTCACCCAAGGGAAAAGAGAACTAGGGCCATAGAGGAAAAGGATCATCATCTCCGTGCCACAGCCCCAGACAAAAAGGGGCCTACGAGAATTCCTGGGGGCTGCAGGATTCTGCAGCATCTGGATCCCTGGGTTCTCGGCAATAGCAAGACCCCTTTATGATCTCTTAGGGGGACCAGATCGAGAACACCTTGCCTGGACTGAAAAGGAAAAAGTAGCTCTCAGGGTACTCACCCAGACTGTTGGACCCTGGCAACAGCCAGTTGCTTACCTGTCAAAGAAGCTAGATCCCGTGGCAGCGGGATGGCCACCATGCCTCAGGGCGCTGGCAGCCACAGTCCTACTCGTCAAGGAGGCGGACAAACTTACCCTGGGGCAAGAACTTAACTTCAAGGTCCCTCATGCATTTGTGTCCCTCATGAATGCACAGGGACACTGCTTCCTTTCCAACTCTTGGCTAGCACAATATCCAGGGCTCTTCTGTGAAAACCCGCGGGTCACCCTCGAAACAGTAAGGACATTAAATCCAGCAACCTTTCTCCCCACGGAAGGGGGGGAACAAGACATGACTGCTCCGAGGTGACTGATGAAGTCTACGTGAGCTGTCCAGATCTGCGGGATCAAGCCATAAAGAATCCAGAGCTCATGCTTTTCAGTGATGGCAGCAGTTACCTACAAGAGGGTGCCCAGAAAGCGGGTTATGTAGTAACCACAACCACTGAAGTCCTAGAAGCTAAGGCATTACCAGCTGGATGGTCAGCTCAACAGGCTGAGTTATATGCCTTAGTCCGAGCCCTCACCCTCAGTGAAGGCAAGCGAGTCAACATCTATACTGATTCTCCGTACGCCTTTGCTACTGTACATACACATGGAGCCATCTACAAGGAAAGGGACCTCCTAACCGCAGCAGGAAAAGCTATCAAGAACAAGGAGGAGATACCGAGATTCCTCGAAGCCATCTGGCTTCCAGAGGAAGTAGCAATCCTGCACTGTAAGGGACACCAGAAAGGAGACGATCCCATAGCACGGGGAAATCGTCTGGCAGATAAGGCAGCCAAGACCACAGCCAGTGAGGACATGGACAGAGCCCCTTCCCTCCCCCATGGCCCTAACACCACTGGAAGAAGTCTCTCCGCCCAGTTACACTAAAAAGGAAAAGGAATGCGCCATGGCTGAGTGGGCCACCCTTACTGAAAAGGGATGGTGGATGATGCCAGATGGGCTCATCTTTGTTCCAACAGCAACTGGAGGGCATCTAGTCAAGGAACACCATCGACTCACTCATCTGGGAAAAACCGCCTTAGAGGCCCTTCTCAAGAAGCACTACTACAGCTGCCAGCACTATGCTGAGCAACGAGTGAACGATGTGTAACATGCTAAAAATAATGCTCGGTCTGCACCACAGCCCCCGCCAGGTGTCCAGAGGATGGGAGCAACCCCCTTTGAAGATCTAGAGGTAGACTTCACAGATGTGCAGCTGAGCAGGGGGTTCAGATATCTCCTAGTAATAGTGTGCACATACTCTGGTGGGTCGAAGCCTTCCCGACCAGGACGGAGCAAAGCCGGGAAGCAGCTAAAGTCCTCTTGCGGGAGATCATGCCCCGGTTCGGCATGCCATTAACAACCCGTAATGACAATGGACCCATATTTGTGGCAGACATTGTACAGGTCTTGACCAAATCTCTCAACATCACCTGGAGACTCCACACCGCTTACCGGCCCCAAAGTTCAGGGAAAGTAGAGTGAACGAATCTCACCCTCAAGGGAACCTTAGGAAAGTTTTGTGAGGAGACTAACCTCCTATGGCCTAATCTGCTACCCCTAGCTCTCCTGCTTGCTTGCTGCACGCCCAGGTCATCAGGTTTCTCCCCATTTGAATTAATATATGGATGGCCTCCCCTGTGCTTGGGAAGCCTTCCAGGAAATGTACATCAGGTTGGAGATAAAGGGATAAAGGAGCAGCTTCAGGCCCTGGGGGCGACCCTAAATAAATGACAAAAATACACCTTTGAGAGGGCCCCAATCTCCCTAGGGTCTCAGATATACTTCCAGACAGGGGACTCAGTTTGGGTCAAAGACTGGAAGAAAGAAGAAATCTTATCATTCGGACGAGGAGCTGTGCCAGTGGAGGGTCCGGCCAGACTTCACGAACCCACTCTGGCTTCACCTTCGATGTGACCCCACCGACTGATGGACACCTGCTCACCATGGTCCCTGGCTCTCATCGGCGTGAGTTCCCTCATCTTGGGAGTTGGACTCTACACTGTTGCCCCTCCTGACTGGACTTTCCCCCAAAGGCTTCTACCTAAGGTCATAGATCCCACTTTTACTGGCCCTCTGCTGTCTACTCCTGAGCACATTTCACCATGGTTTTCCTGGCCCTAGTCAGTCCTGGTCTTCTACTACCTGGTGTGCTGTTAAGTTTATGATTAAGTCCATGTTTGTCCCAAGACTTGCAGTCAACCCTCAGAGTCAAACAGAATGATGCCCTCTAAACTAGGTGTTTAAAGGGGCATCAAAAGGAGGAATGATAAGGAAAATCTGTGTCCTAAGATGGCCGACCGAGCCAGCGAGAGAGTCCCAGTCCTTGCCCCGGGGCTTTTCCAGGTTCTTCTCCCTGCTCTGCTTCCTGCACACACCACCCTTCCAGCACCCTGCTTCGCACACGCTCCAAAAGTGCCAAGTATGTGGAAGTAGAAGAGTATAAATTTGTCCCCTTTGTTTGTGCTCGGGGCTCAGACCTTTGGAGACCACTCTTCTCTGAGCCCGCCAGCATTAAATAAACCTCCTATCCTCCAAGATCTCCGAATGCCCCTTGGTTCTTCTGTCGGGTGATCCAGTCCAGGTTCTGTAACAGTATCAGGGTAGTGCTGGCCTCATAAAATGATTTTGGAAGTTTTCCTTCTTCTATTTTTTGGAGTAGTTTGAGGAGAATATGACTAAGGAGCAGTTGTGGCTAGGTAGGAAGAAATAGGCTCACCAAAAATCCCAGAAATGCTGAGGCACAGTGAAATCAGAGATAAGGGAACAAACCAGACCACCCTGCCCTGGGCGTCAGAGGTGGGGTCTTTTTATAGCAGTCACACTGTGACCAACAAAGAATAACCAGACCCCAAAGTAGAAGTAAGCTCTTAAAGATGTTATCACCAGTCCTTACTCAAACCAAGACGTCACAAGAATGTTAAGGTAATGTTTAGATAAAAGAATGTCAGTGGAGGCCCACATTGGCAACCCTGTCAGGACCCCTCCCACTCCTGAGAGTTTTTTCTGTATCCTTACTTAAAAGTCTATTGCTTTGCTCACTCTCCTTTGTCCATGAGATTAATTCTTGTACTCTGTGAGACAAGAACCTAGCTCTCCTGCTTCAAATAGGTATTAACTCTTCTCTAAATGTTTGGTAGAATTTGCCTGTGAAGCCATCTGGCCCTAGACTTCTGTTTGTTGGGAGGTTTTGGTTACTGATTCAATTTCATCGCTGGTAATTGGTCTGCTTAAATTTTCTGTTTCTTCCTGTTTCCAACATGGTAGGGTGATCCAAGTGCTTCAGGTCTGCCTATTTTCTGAAGTCCCAGGCTACTGTAACAAACACGACTCCCAGTTGTCTCTCATTGAGGATACCATGGTCAGCATGCTGGAATCAGCCCTTGCAAGGTGTCCAGATTTGTCAAGGCTTCCGGATGTCTCTTAGTGAAGGATATCCCCATAGCCCAACAAGCTACGTCCTTGCAAAGCAGTCCAGACTCCTCCACCTGTACCCTATAGATAGGCTGCGTGGTGTGTTCCCAAGCCTCCCCAGAACTTGAGGCTCCCAAGTGCTGCTTTTGGCTGGCTTCTCAGTCCTGTGGGCAGGCCCTGACCTGGCAAGGCAAATCCAGGTCCTCTGGGTCTGCCTCAGATATAAGCCTCAAGAGCTGCGTGCACTTGGAAGTGATTCCTGGTTGCCTGTCCTGGGTCATTGAAAAAGTTCATTCCTTGAATTGAGAGATGAAAAGGCCCAATTTCATGATCAACTCCCATTTCTCATAGAGCACCTTCAGCACCAGGGTGTGCTTCACCTGCACATTTGCATCCTGATGTCTTCGCTGGTCCGGCAGCTCCACGTCATCCTCATGTCTGCCTTTGAGTTTCGTGATGCTCTCAATCTCATACAGCTACTGGGCCAAGAGGCTGCCCATGCACTTGTCTCGGTTCACCCTCGCCAGTGCTGTCAGCAGCTTTATGGCCTTTCGACAGACTGCACAATGTGTTCCTGGTCTTTTCCAGAACTCAAGTCTTCCAGGTGCCACTTTTAGGTGGCTACCTAGTATGGCGGGCAGGCCTATATGATCCTGAATCTTAATTTCTTATTCAAGAAATAAGAATATTGTTGTCTAAAAATAGTCATATAAAGCACCAGCCTCACAATAAACACTCAGTAAGTTAGGTCCCATTTCCTTGGGTTTGCTCCTAAGGCCTATGCACCCCCCCCACCCCCAGGGACTTGAAAGTGTGCCCAGCACTGGAACCAGGGCTTTAGCCATTTATTTGAATTTGTGGTAGTACATGTTTACCTTCCCTCCTGCCACTTCAGAACTTTGTCCGTGTCAACAGGCATTCCCAGGAAATGAGATCTGTACCAAAGGTGCTTATTGATTACTACAAGGCCTACATGGTATAATCTTGAAAAAAAACAAGTAGATTGACATGACTCATTTTAAAATCCAGTATTCATTAATGAATGCCATCCATTAGCAATATTTCTCCATTGTCATGAATTTCTTCAATTTTATCAGGGTCGTACTGGCCTAGAAAAAATATTCACCAGGAAAAGGTTAATTATTAATAGTAATTCCTTGAAAAGAGTATAAAAAGGATTCTTCATTTCTTTCAGATGATAGAGCACCTTCTTTAAAGGTTCATCTGGAACAATGAAGACTCTTAGACCCATATGTTTTCTTGTTTTCTTCAGCTACGTTCAATGTCAAACTCTTCAGAGAAGTTTACTAGCTGCAGGTAGGGATCCTATTTACAATCTATACATCCCATGTGCCAGGACATAAGGCATGATGACTACTAAAATATCTACTAAAATATAAGGAAAGGCTTATCTTCCTCAGGGCTCATCATTGTCAACAGAGTCATTGGAAATTGCTAGAAATTAATTTGTGGAAGGGATGCAGAAAGAGAGCTAATATATTGAGGCAACACACACAGGAAGATCTCGTTTTGGCCTTACTTCCACTCTAGGTGAGGGAAAGATACATTTCAAACTTGTGTTTGAAATTGGGTAAATGATTTTGGATAAAGCAACTGTGTTTATAGTAGCAGGAATAATATTATGAGCTACATTCTTCAGTACCTATTCTGTGCTCGGCGCTACACACCTATGTTTCCATTTAATCCTAACAACTATCCAATGTGGTAGAGTTTATTTATTTTTTCTAGGTAGAGAAACAGAAACTTTGAGAGCTTAAGCTATTTTCCCAAGGCCACATTCAGTATCAGAGCTAGAAATTGAACTCAGAGTAACTGACTCCAAAGCCTTTCCCCGTATTAGAGATGATAATAGTTTCTTTATTTAACAGAAAGAGGCTCAGCTCTTTGGAAGCTGTTAGTATAAGAAGATATTGTTTTCAATAGATAACGTGTGTGTGTGTGTGTGTGTGTGTGTGTGTGTGTGGTGAGTGGAGGTGTTAAAAAAAATAAAGTTGATGAGTAAATCCAAAATGGGTGAGATATTGTCTTTGCCAAATGAAGCCTGGCAAAGTGCTAATGTTTATACATCTGCTCCCAATGTTAAACTTTAATTTTCTTAGTATCCCTTGGATATGCTAGTAACTTCTAATATAAAGAGTTAAATAACCAAATCATGTTAATTAATTCAGGTGTGTCAACACAAGTACATGCAACTTATCTGTGGGCTAATGACAGATGTTAAGTACACAATATATTTGAATAGAAATAAGTCATTCACAGAATGTAGTTTAAACACAGGTGAAGATATAGTCTGGTAAAATTTGTTTTAATTTTTGGTGGCAAATAAAAAAGATCTGAAAATTTATAAGTGAATAAATATGGATTTCAGAATTATAAAGGGAGATTTCAATTTTGAAAATATCCTCTTATGCAAACAAAATCTCATTTTTTTCAGCCTTGCGCCACATTAATAGCCCAAATTATCTGCAGGAGAACTTAAGAGACATGTGAGTTTTGTTATCAACATTCTCCCCTCTGAAATTTGAAATCACAATCATTTTGGAATGGGGAGGGGGCAGTGATCTAACAATGATGGAGGAAAAGTTCGATTTTATCTTTAACACTCTCACAAGTGTTATGTTTCAGCGCCAGGATTATGGTTGCTCAGTTTCTTCAGAAATTAACTTATGAAGAAGTACAAACCATAGTTGAAGAGTTGGTAGATCTTGCAGAGAAGTGCAAGATCCTGAAGGCACATGAGTCACTGTCAGAATGCTCTCACCAATTGGTAGGTGAATCATGTTTTCCTTTCTCTCTCTTATTTAAACTAAAATTCCAACCAAAAGGTGTTGTTATGAAGTGGGATGTTGAAGAATTAAGTAGGGGATTTTAAGGCAACAATATGTATATCAATCACACTCAAAATACAACCTTTGTAGGTTTATAAGCCTACAGTTCTTCATTTCATCTCTGGGAGATCAGACTCCGAGAACCAAATGCTCAAGAGAATGAATTATAATGTAGAGGCCAATTTGTTCATTTTGGCTGGTTGCTCCACCTCTCCCACTGGAATACTATTATCTGACATCATCATATAAAGGTTCCTGGGAAATCAAAGTACTAATTTTAAAAAGTTTCTAAGAGTATATGAGAAGGAAGAAAGAAGTGAATATTATTGTGGGCTCTTTTTCCTAGTTAGTAGAAAATCTCGGGGATTACTATTGTCTCATAAAGTGTGTCTATCTTATGATGAGCAAATTCTTGATGAACACTAACATATTTGTACAATCTACATATGTTTTGGATCACTTGTCTTGTGCCAAATATTTTAAACTACAAATCAACAGTTTTCTTCTCTATTGGTAATTTTTTTTTATTATTATTCCATCTTCTTGGGGCTAAAACCTATCTCTTACTAGACTCTTAGTAGACATAGAAAAACCATCAGTCTAATTAGAAACACATTTTATTTATTTTATCTTATTTTTTTTAGAGGATCTATTTATTTATTTTAGAGAGAGAGTTGGGGAAGGGGAAGAGGTAGAGGGAGACAGAATCCTCTAGAAGATTCCCTGCTGAGCGTGGAGTCCTATGTGGGGCTTGATCCCAGGACTCTGAGATCATGACCTGAGCCAAAATCCAGAGTCAGCTGCTTAACTGACTGCACCACCCAGGCATCCCTACAAAGACATTGGAAATGAAGTGCTTCTGCTAGTCACTAGTCTCACTTATTTTATAGTGACTCCTTCTTATTTCTACTTCAAAAGATGGCCTTTTTTTTCCACCTTTATTCCCTAAATCTGGATATGTATGTTGTTTGCAGTTTACAGCATCCCACACATTTACTGCCACTCAAAGGTATTTGAAAACTAACTGAATTATTACATTTTCATTTGAACATTTGACACTGAATACACACTGCCTCGGAGTTCAATTCTTAAAATAACTTCCCATGGAAACCAAACTAAAAACAATTAGGAAGCAGGGGAAGCAAATGACATTTATTTCTTGGTGGATAGTTACAAAAATTACCCTGATTTCATTAGGCTCTGGAATTTTGGCTTATGTTTAATACCTCTTAACAACTGTATGAAAATGAATTTGAAATCACAATTATTTTGGAAAGGAGAGAGTGATAAGTTCCATTTGGTCCATGTCTAGCATGTGGGAATTTAGACTTAAAAACCTAAAAAACTTTTGCTCAAAAGAGCTATGTCCAGGGATTATTAAATACAGAGTGTAAGATCATATGCTCAGTGGCCTTTTCTTGATAATAATTCTTTAACTTTCCTAGGAATGTAGATCACACATGCTTCCCCTTTAAATTATTATTTCCTCCTGCAGATGACTACCTTCCTAGAGCACATTTGTAATAACCAAGGAAAGGCTGACAAACAGAAGTTTTCTGACTGTTGCAATATAAATAACAAAGCAAGACTCAAGTGCTTCCTATTATACAAAAAAGATGATGCAGATTACAGTGACATATTCCAAATTCCAAATCCTGAGCAGATCTGTGAGATGGACAAAGTGAATCAAGTGTCAGTGAAGGAGAGGTAAGTCATTTCTCCTTGCCATACTCTCTGAAGAAGAGTGTTTTCCAATTTTGAAGACTGATCTTTTATATAAATATGGGCCTCCAAGAACACAATCCTTTATTACATGAATTAAGGTAAAAATTTGACCTCCAATGTATATTTTTCTCCCTCAGAATGACAATTACAATCTCAGTAAACCTGACAGGGCATGAAAATGTCTGTTTGTAGAAACATTAAAAATGACTAGGACAAAAAAATTTTAAAAATAATTTTTACGAGGGCAATATAAAGGACCCATTTCCTTAATGGTTAGATTAGTCAGACCAGTAGCAAATGATGTTGAAAGGCACAGCAAGTAGGCAGAGCATAATAAACGGAGTACTGGGGACAGAGAGCAGGTAATAGGTCTGACAAGGGGCTGGCATTTGGGAGATTCATCAAGGGATAGCAGAGAGGGTATCTGATGGGCATGGAGAGAGCCTGTCATTGGGAACCTAAGAATAAGTGACAATTGCAGATTAGACAGAGATGAGTTTTCTACTCATAAAATCTGATTCTATAATTCCCACCTGGAGTGGACAGCATTATAGCAAATGGGTAGGCAAGCTCCTATTTTGTTTTCTAGTGAGCATAGAGGTCTATTTGTAAAGGGGTGTGAGCAAGTGGCTTGGAAACCAATGCCTAGAGAGGTAGAAATGATAAGAGAAACAAAAAACTTTAGTTCTCAAGGAATGCAATTCTAGCCATCTTATCAAGAGAGGCTCAGACAACGGGAATAAGGCAATGACCTGATTGCTGGTTCTAGAGGGCAAGGAGGATGGTAGTGATTTGATTTCAGATTTTAGACATGAAACTTTAGACCAGAGATGAATGAGCAGACAGGGTGACTTGATGTTGAATAATGTAAACTCCTTTAATTCACCCATGTGGGGGCAGAATTGCCCCAGACATTACTGAGCCTTCAAGAAGAAATTAATTGGCCCTAGCCACTTAGGTAGAAAGGACTGGGGTGCCTGGTGGCTTAGTTGGTTAAGTGTCCAACTCTTGGTTTCAGCTCAGGTCATGATCTCAGGGTCTGGAGATCGAGCCCTGCCTCGGGCTCTGCTGTCAGGGTGGAGTCTGCTTAAGACTCTCTGCCCCTCCCACTGCTTGCATGCGTGTGTGTGCATGCGCGCTCTCTCTCAAATAAATAAATAAATCTTAAAAAAAAAGGGGAAAAGAAAGGACTAAGGGATGAGGACTGGGCAGGTTCCAACTTGTCTGACATCAGGGGCAACCAAATGGGAACCAAAATAGGACCCAGCTACCTATTTACTATAGTGCTTCCACTCTAAGAGAGAATTATAAAATCAAGTTTGGGTTGAATATTCAGAGATTACAAAATCTAACCAATACTCATGCAGTGAATCTAATCTCTTCTTGAATATTTACAATGAAGTCAATATTAAGGAATTATTTTAAATGCTAATCTTAACTTATGTGCAGACAACTATAATTATTCAAGGAAAAATAATTTTCTAATTATTTGTCTCATACTTATAAAGCAACAACTTCATTTAATTCTCAACCAAGGAAATAGTAACATACATCAGAGCTGGCTGGAAAAGTCAGCTCTTTCAGATTTTTCACAATATAGCATAGTCTACAAGTACACAAAACCATAGTTATTGTGCCTTTGGATTATCTAAGGAATTTTCAATAGCAGTTTTAATTATTGTAAGCTTCTATTGTAAGTCTGACGATAGAACCTGACTTCCAATCAAGCTTGACCCTACGTTACCTTACAATAGGGACATTCCATTTTTTAAATGGCTCTAATTATTAGAAAGCTTTTCCTTATACTAAGTTAAACTTTGGAGATTTGAAATTAGATTGGCTCATATTGAATATCTTCTAAGGGAACTGTTACTGTAGCACAAAAATAAACCCTTAATTCAGCATACACAATAAAGAGCAGAGGTATTGAATGGCTTTGGTGAAATTTCATATTGACCAAAAATTTTGCCTTATGTTGGGAGGCATGTGTATGTTGATAATATCAGTTCTGCTGGTCTGTCCTGTTTCTACAAGTTGGGCTTGAGAAACTCTGCTGATAGAAGCCTATTGACTAAACTTCCAGGGGTTTGGGGCCCCTTGGTGAGAATGAGGAGGGTTTTTTGGGGGGAAGCGCAGACGGACTTTTCTAAGTCTTGCTAATGAATAATGTTCAGTTCAATTATTTGGCCTATTTTTCTCCCTCCATGGTTTGTGGATGATTTTTTTCTTTTATACGTTTTTAAAAAGCAAAAGTAATAATCCCAGGATAAGTTAACTTTAGTTTGGTAGCAAATAATCTCTAATTTTCAGCAGCTCAATATAACAAAAGGTGTTTTGTTTTTGTTTTTTTTCCCACTCATGCTATCTGTCCAATGTAGATTGGTAGGAGGTCTGCTTATCATAGTCACTTAGGGACCTAGGTTGACAAAGACACCATCTCAACACTTGCTTCTTTGATTACTATGGCAAGGGAAGGGGATGATAGTAAATCATGCATTGCTTCTTAAGCTTGTTTAGAAGCAACACTCATCATTTCTTCTCACACATCATTAACCAGCAAGTCCCATTGTCATACGTCACCTCAGAGGGGGTGGGAATGCACAATCCTACCATTTGCCTGAAAGGAGGGGATCTGGAAATTTCTGGTAAACAACTCTGATGGCTACCACCTCGGTCATCCACCCACAAGAAAGATTTTGTACTTTTAACCAAAAGGAAATGTTACCACAGGATTGCTACACACCAGTTGTTAGATAAGGTCTCTGTTGATGTTTGGTTAGTGCTTCAGGCCTCCTGCGAATCTCTTGTCTTCTGTTATGGCACCACTCTTCCCTATCTGGTCAGAGAGCAGCAAGAAATAGTCTTCTGATGAAGTCACATATGGATATAGTCCCTGACCCCAGAAACTCTAGCCACCTTCTTGGGTGGGATTTTGTCTTTTAGACTCTGTAGCACTCAGGAATTTCTATTAAAATATGTTAAGCATTTCCTTGGCTATTTGTCATGAGATATAATTGCTTTTTCAATCATTCCAGGGAAGGCAACAGTAGAAATTTTTCATTTGACTTCAGCGGTTTCTGCAGCTGTATTCTTCTCTGGGATCCCCAAAGGACTTGGAGTTAGATTCCAAAGGAGCAGGCATACAGATTTATGTATTATCCAAGGAACTTGGGGTGGGGGCAAGTTAAAACATGAACCAAGTCCCTATTCTTTCTATCACTTCCTCCATTATCCTTTCCTTTCAATGTTGAAAACCTGGTTTTCTGGTGTCACCATTTTTCTGGTGATATTGGCCTACTTTACAGATATTACATCATAAACTTGCATTAAGGATAGTACTATAATAATCAGGATGGACTAAGCTGTGCTGTGGTCACAAGGAAATCCTAAATTTATAAATAGATCCTAAAATCCTAAATATTGGCTGGATTCAGTAAAGATTTATTTCTTTTTCATATCACAGTCTAAATTGGGTGGTTCTCTTTGGCTCTCTCTGGCTCCTAGTTGAATCCTGGGCATGATTTTTTTTTTTTTCAGGCCTGACAGTAGGCAATTATGGATCACAGGCCTCAGAGGGGCAAGCTGCCCTTCCCACACCGGACTGGGACAAAACATATTTCAGTCTCTGAAGGAGCTGTAGTCACGGGCTGGGTTCCTTCCTCCCCCCATACCAGCCATGTTTTTGTGCATAGTTTCATTCCTAGCCCAGCTCTGCTGTGACTTCCTCACTGGGGGGATGGAGGGAGAAACTTGGACAGACTTCGGTGCACTTTGGCTCAGCACTCAGGGCTTTCCCACTCCCAGTCCTTTTCCCTCCCCTTCCCCCCTGCCCCAGGGTCCTTAAAACCACAGGAGCCTTTTGTTTGGGAATCCCGCAGGAGAAAGCCATCCCCAAGTCTGTGGTGCTCTCTACCTGATCCTCGGCTGGTACTGGTATGGGATCATGGAGGGAAAGTGGACAGTGGGAGAGGTTGGGGAGTCAGCCCTTTCTCCAGTTCAACCTCTTGCTCAAACTATCCCAATAAATGATTAAAGTCTTGAGTGTTACTTTTATTTTGTTTTAGTTGGCTACTCTGACACTTGGCAGCTCATCTCTCTCTAAATTGCCTCAGCTCCTGAGAATTCTCCAAGGGGTAACTCGGGAATGCAAGATGTTTCCATCTCTTTATTATCTGAAGCATGTGTTTCCCAGGTCACTGTGAAACAGAAAAAGAGAGCAGAGAACTGTGCTGAGACATTAACAGCCACACCTCAAAGTGGTGTGGAGCATATTCATTCATATTTCATCATCCAGAACTCAGTTACATGTTCTCAACCTAACTGCAAGGGAGCCTGGAAAAGGAGTCTCCCTGTGCGCACAGGAAAAGAAAATGGATTTGTGTGAGCATTGAGCCAGTTTTTGCCTGTAATGTCATCTTGTTGAATATTTTTGCATGTGTGTCTGTGGGGTCTTTTGAGCAAGCTTTGCAAAAATAGGAGGAGATATGTGTTACAACTGAAAGGCAGAGGTGATGCCCCAGCTCTTCGAGTGTGAGGAATGAATGAACTAGAGAGGGAAATAAAGACAGGGGACTTAGTAACAAATCAAAATATTGAGGGGCATATCTTGGAGGACAATGGCCTTAACTTTCCTAGTCTAGAAAGAACTTCTGGATGATCTTGAGCGACTCCTCCCCTATCACTAATAGATTCTAAATTTAATCCTCCTGCACCAGCTGTACAATCTGGCATTTACAATTCAGTTTGGACTACTGAACTTTCTATCTTATACTTCTTATATAAAAATGACAAGTTTTAGTTACTTTTTCTTTCCCCACCAGCCTGGAAGTTACAGGTGGTCATTTCATGAGCATTCAGTGAATGTCTGACTAACTTCACAGTGATCTGTCCAGAGTGATGTGAACATGTGATGTGTTTATGTATCATGCTACCTCATCTCTTTCACCATGAAATTCTAGAAGTTCAGGTCAACAAAACTAGATGAAGAAACAGTGTTGGCACATGCTCTTGAATTCTAAATAACACAACCTCATATTTTCCAAATTACAGGTACATTTATGAAACGTCTCAAAAGCATCCATTCTTGTATGGACCCACTATTCTGACCATGTCTGCTTGCTATGAAACAGCTATTCAGTCATGTTGCCAAGAAGAAAATAAAACTGAATGCTTCCAGATAAAGGTAAAATATTCATATGTCAACTGTTATTTAGAGCCTTGCTCTGCAAAGTGTGGACTGTGGACCAGCAGCATATGCATCACCGGGCAGCTCATTGGAAATGCAGAATCTGAAGCTCTTCTCCAGATCTACTAAATAAGACTTCATTGTAATAAGATACTGAGGCAATTCATATTGTTATTACAATCTGAAAAGTATGATTTAGCATAGACATTACTTCATCATAAGTATTTAATATTCAAGTTACTATTGTTGCATATCAAAACACCCCAAAATTTATTGACTCAAGCCAACAACAGTTATATTATTAGCTCTCATGATTTTTGTGGGTCAGGAGTTCAGGAAGGGCTCATCTGGGCAGTTCTGGCTCATGATCTTTCTTGTGGTAGAACTCTGGGGAGCTGAAGCACCTGGGGGCTAGCTCAACATCGCTTTCTTCTCATAGAGTCTCAGGGTCTCTCCACGTGGTCTCTCTGCCTTGGCTAGTTTGGGATTGCCCACAGCATGGTAGCCTCAGGGCAGCTGGATTGCTTACATATAGCCAAAGTCTTCAAGAATGCATATTCTAGTGGCTAAAGCAGAAGTTGTATGGCCTTTTTATGAGCTAGCCTCAGAAGTTACTTCTGTCATACACTATTGGTTGAAACACCATAAAACCTCACCGGTTTAAAAAGGAGAGTATATAGGGCACCTGGGTAGCTCAGTTGGTTAAGCGACTGCCTTTGGCTCGGGTCATGATCCTGGAGTCCCTGGATCGAGTCCCGCATCTCGCTCCCTGCTCGGCAGGGAGTCTCCTTCTCCCTCTGACCCTAACCCCTCTCATGTGCTCTCTCTCATACTCTCTCTCTCAAATAAATAAATAAAATCTTAAAAAAAACAACAGGAGAGTATATATACTGTACCTCTTGATGGGAAGATTGTCAAGGTCTCACTGTAAGAAGAGCCTGGGATAGAAGATATCGCTGCAGCCATCATTGGAAAATACAATCTATCACACTTAATTTTAACCATGTGGCCTTTTCTCTTTCATTGAAGAGATGTAAATTAGTGATTAGTTCTAAGATAAAAGTACTTTTCACGCATCTCCTTAAAGGTTTCAAATATCAACATAAAATGACCATCTTTACTAGAGAGGGCACCAGATGGATTTTCCAAAGGTTGTACTGAAATGAGTAGTAGTTTGATAGTCATTTTGATGAATTCAAGACTAAATGCAGTGCCACTTTATTCTTACTGTTTTCTTTGATCTTCTCAGTGCAAATTTATCTCATATTCCTCAAAACCCCTATTTCTCTATTCCTCTCAAACTATTTTTCCTATCGAGCTCCTCATCATCTACTTTAGATAAGAAATTAAATATTGTATCTAGAAAGTTTCTGGCACATGCTCAGTACTCAATAATTATTGCTATTATCATTAAAGATATTTTCATTATCATAGAGAGCTTTAATATATTACCTCCCTCTCCATTTGTCCCCTAATGACTTTTTCAGAAGTCAATTCTGAGTTCCTAAGCAGGACAGTCTTTTTCTCCTTTTAGGTTTGTATTAATGAAAAACAGAAAAACAAATGATCATGCAGACTTATATCTCATTACTTCACATTTCTAAAGAATGAACTTTTTTGTGGAGGTTAAGCTTTTTTTTTTAAAGTAACTTGTGCTTACTCTTTTAAGTTTTCTTAATCTTAACACTTCTCAGTGGAGAATTTTCCTTAATGTATAACATGCCCCTGTAAAGTTAGCCAAGAGTTCTTCCCTCTTCTACCCCACTTTATGATCTTTACAGTATTGCTGCTTCCAGGATGTCCATTCCTAATGGTTCTTGCTTATTCCTCAGAGAAAATGACATAACCAAGTGTATAAAAATTGTGTTTATGATTAGAGAATGTGGTTTATGAGTTAAGTCTTCAGAGACTCTAGAAGAAGTAGACAAGCTTGTTTGTACTAGATTTTAAATGAGTATACTACATCAAAATAAAGATTAAAGCAATAATTACATTTATAATTAATTATAAAATATAATTAGTTAAATTTAATAATAATTACTAAATTAAATTATAATTATTGTGCTAGTTTTATGATTTGAATATTGCCTTTGTATATATTTTTTAACTTGTTCTTAAAAATAGCACTGTAAGGTATAGTTAGCCAAAGTAAAAATAATCTATGGTCATTATAATGTTTTAAGTGAAAATATAGAGCTGTTCTGAAATTTTAAAATATTACTAATATCCCCAGCACACAGAGATACCAATTTTAGTGTATTTCCTTTTATTCATTTTTCCATTCACAGATTTTATTTTGTACATTGTTGTGATCACACTGAATATCTAGTTTTGATTCGAGATTTAAATATATCTACTTTTTATTAGAAGTATACATTTTGTCAAAATTAATGTGCCATTATTTATTTATTTATTTATTTATTTTTAAAGATTTTGTTTATTTATTTGACAGAGAGAGACACAGCGAGAGAGGGAACACAAGCAGGGGGAGTGGGAGAGGGAGAAGCAGGCTTCCCGCCGAGCAGGGAGCCCGATGCGGGGCTCGATCCCAGGACCCTGGGATCATGACCTGAGCCGAAGGCAGACGCTTAACAACTGAGCCACCCAGGCGCCCCTGTGCCATTATTTATTTTACCATCACTCTGCTGTTGAGACATTTTATTTGTCTCTAAAATGTTGCCATTGTAACAAAACATGCATGTTCTTCTTTTTTAATAGTTGTGGTTTTTTTTATGTAGAAGAATTTATTTGCGATAGTTTCCAAAGTAAAAATCCTGGTTTAAAAATTATGAACATATTTGGGGGGGGCTTCATTAATGTATATTGCCAAACTGGAGCATATATTCTAGATAAGCAGTAGGAGACATGTCCAAGATGACAGAGCTAGTAACTTGATAAAAACAAAATACAACTGTAAGACATTATTGAAATTTATTCTTGTGGTTCTCTGGATTTTTGGTTGCTCAATTTCATGTCTTCTTTTTATTCCAAATGTTTGAGGTTCTAGAACAAGTGATCTCTGGGAAGTAAGATGCTATTTTATAAAACAAACCAACAAACAAACCACATTGTGCTTTTGCATTTGGTCTCTTTTAAATAAGACAATAAGGACTTTCTAATTTTGAGGAGATAAACAACTTGTACTTTTCTTTCTCGTTTACTAACGACAAGAGGGACTTTTGCTGTTGCAGACGCATTTCTTTGATGAGTGTTTTTCTACTTACAGCTAGAACCCATCAGAAAATACGTTAGAGAAATATCTTTGAGGCATCACCATTTATGTGAAATTGGGATTAAATTCAACCACAAAGTAGCCAAAGCAGTGTAAGTTACTGATTGACATATGTGAACTCTGTTGCTGTTGGATCACCCCATTTGATCAAACTCATTTGAAAATCATTTTTTTTTCCATTTAATAATGTCTCTCAATGCAAACCTGGTTCCTTTCTCTATAGCTATGCTACTTGCCTATTCAATAGGGCACATAGAGCTGGGCTTGAAACTACACAATCCTCATCTCTATCCACTGTCTCCTGCCTCAGTTTCTTCCATCTGCTCAGACCCCTTATCTCTGCCTTAGTGCACAAAAGATTCTATACATGAAGATGCAGGCTCTTAATTGTTCCACAGGCTCTTAATTGTTCTGCCTGATAAAACCTGGCAGACAAAATGTATTCTTTTCTCTGGGAAGATAGGTAAGATTTTCGCTCTAGTGTCATGCAGAACAGAAAAATCTAGTGGTGTTTTGTGGGTGAGGATGGAAGAGTGTGGGGTGAGGAGAATTTGATGTTACTCAGTGTGCCTCTTTCCTGGCCCAGATTGTATTTCTGTCCAAGTTTACCTGTGAAGGGATGTATCCTTCCTTATATCACCTTCTTGCCTAATCTGGGACAGCATTGGGCTGGATGGAAGCTTAGTTCTCTTTATAAGGCAGGCCCATTTTCCCGATTGCCAGAGACATTTTGGGGATGTTGCTCAGTTGTCAACGGGAGAAGCAAGGGAAACCCAAGACTCTTAGAATTATTGTCTTTATGATGAAGAATTTTACTTGGAAAGTCAGGTCAGATAAATTTCCAAATTATCCATCTAAGCAACTCAGCTTCTTAAGTGATCATTTCAATGATGAAAATGACTATATTTTGCATGATTATGAATTGAATGGTGTTTGTTTTGTGATTTAGATCTTTGTGTGGCTCTGAGTGCTATCGTGGAAGAAATGGAAGGCATTTAAAATATACTCTCTTCCTCCTACATTTGCAAATGTGTTTCTATTATTTTGGTTACTCAATGAACTAGAACTAATTTTAGAAAGGATTGAATTCAAAATACGGTTTAAGATGTACTTATTTTTCTTTCAGGGAATTGGTTCTGCTGACTAAAAAACAACCCAAAGCTGACTTTTCTGAAATTGCCAGGCTGGCCGTGGATATTAAAAATCTGCATCAGACGTGCTGTGAAGGAGATGTAGTAGCATGTGTACTTGGCAGGGTGAGAGCCTCTCCTTTCTTAAAACTCACCTCAGTCTTGAAAATCTTGCAATTCTTTTTTTTTTTTTTAAGATTTTATTTATTTGAGAGAGAGAAGCACAAGCAGGGGGAGGGGCAGAGGGAGAAGCAGACTCCCCGCTAAGCAGAGAGCTCAAGATGGGGCTCAATCCCGGGACCCTGAGTTGGGGGCAGATGTTTAACCGACTAAGCCACCCAGGTGCCCCAAAACTTGCAATTCTTAAACAAAGGTGACCATGGTACGTCGTGAATCTAAAACAAAATAATGAGCATTTCTCAATCTTACCAGTAGAATTACCAGTCGTGTCTCCCCTCTTGTCTTGTCCCAGCTCAGGCAATGATTTTTTCTTCCTCCCTCCCCCACTTCTTTTCTCCCTCCACTCCTCCTTCCCTCCCTTTCTTCCTTACTTATCCTGTCTTTCTTCACTTTATTCTGTTATTCTTTAATTTTTAGAGCTGACCTCTAATTTCCTTCCAAACTGAGTTTATATTTTGTTCACCTTTGAATCCCAAGCAAGTCCCAGAATTGCAACCCAGAGCCCCAGGCCACATCAGCCTGGAGGAAAAAAGAAACGTCAAGAAAAAGATGTGGGCCTGAGGTTTGGGGGCACAAACTGCCCCTCATCCAAGTGTAAAGTCTCTAAATCCCAGAGAAGGAAAAATTGTAACTGTCAAAAACCTGATGAGGCTTTGGTAAATCAGAGGTTACAAGTCATGTTGCTATTCATTCTGCAAGTTAGAAAATTGAATAATGTTTCATCATGATAAATAAAATGCAGCAACAAAGAAGGACTAGTATCATAATTTCATGGGGATGTCCATGACTCTTATGGACAGGAGCCCCCACCTTCAACTATTTTAGTCCCATTCCATGAAAGATTAAGGGATATGAGTAACTACAGGAATTAAAATAGAAAGGCATTGCATAGACACTCAGTAGCATCCCTCGGAGTCTACGTCCTCAACCATTTACGTTGCTGGAACAGAGTTGGGGTCAGACCACAGCTCTTCTTTGGTACCTATTGTGGTTGTTAAGTCCATGTCATATTCAGCCCGACCACTGGGAAGGGTGGCCGTGGTCACCGCCCCTTTCATCCTGGAGATACACAATATAATGTTGTTCTTGAACTTCTCTCTGTATGGCAGGAATCCCAACTAGTGCTGGAAGAAACACTCCCCTGCATACTTAGAAGGAGTCCTGGCTTTTCAGGACAGGCTATTAGAATGTTATTTATTTGAAGATTAGGTGAACTTGGGGGGAAGAGTAAAGAGAAAGTGGGGGCCTGACAGACTCAGTCATAATTAAAACAAAACAAAACAAAATCTCTAATATCCTTTAGCACATAAACAATACCTATGCCAAACCAGCAACTCCATTTATAATTCTACACCTTGTCAGGAATGCCAGAACAATTGTTAATGATTTCATTGTATTAGCTAATATTCACAAGCAATATAAAATAACTATAAATGGGGGTGCCTGAGTGGCTCAGTCGGTTAAGTGTCTGCCTTCGGCTCAGGTCATGATCCCGGGGTCCTGGGATCGAGCCCCGTTTAGGGCGCCCTGCTCAGCGGGAGGCCTTCTTCTTCCTCTCCCACTCCCCCTGCTTGTAGTCCCTCTCTCGCTGTCTCTCGCTCTCTGTCAAATAAATAAATAAAAACTCTTTAAAAAATAAAATAAAATAAAATAAAATAATAACTATAAATGGTTCTAGCATTTCTATCTTGGTCCAGACTTTCATGGAAACAGGTTTAAAGTTACTGACTTGAGAAAGGTATTGTGTATGTGTTAAGAGATTTTTCATTCTTATTTTAGAGATTGGTTTTTTCTTTTTTTCAAAGATTTTATTTATTTATTTAAGAGAGAGTGTGCACATAAGCAGGGTTCGGGGGAGGGGAGAATCTCAAGCAGACTCTGAGCTGAGCACGGAGACCAACAAGGGGCTTGATCTCACGACTCTGAGATGATGAACTGAGCCGAAATCAAGAGTCCCATGCTTAACAAATTGAGCCACCCAGGCATCCCAAGGTTGTTCTGTTTTTAATTAGGATGGATTCTTAACATTAGTAAATGTTCTTTTGTTTTCTTAGGATCATCATTTGATTTCCACTTAACTTATTCATTGGTGAATCATATTAAAAGATTTCTTAATTTTTAACCATCTTTAGATTGTTTACATCCATCTCATTTTGCTATATTTTGGATTTTATATATACATAATTTTCAAATTTCTGTATTTGCATTTACATGAACTCGATCTAGAACTTTCAGGTTTTGGTATTCAGTTATGTTACCTTCCAAAAATTGCACTGTTTTCTCTTTCAAAATCTCTGAAATAATGTAACAATATTGAGAATGACCTGTTTTGTGAAGGTTTGCAAGAACTTGTCCATGAAATTGGAGCAGGGATTGAGACAGAAACCCGTGTGACAGTCCTCATCATGATAAATGCACCCTTTCTACTGTTTATTTTTCATATTGATTTAATGATCTTATTATTAGAGTATTTCTCCTAATGCTTTTTGGAATGGTGTATGGATTATATACCTTTGAATTATAAGTTCTAGAAAGTTTCTTATACTTATCGGTGCTTATATCATTCCCTGATGCTTCACAATATCACACCCAACTCAAAAAGCACATAACCTTTATAATAGATGTTAATTTTTAATATTAGGTGATATGAATTAATAGGGCTTATAAGTCTATTATATCACTCAGTCAACATAATTAAATTTTACGTTGTAGGGTTCTCTCTCTTTCTTTGACTTCAAGGCACTATTGACCAACATTCTGGGGTTGTATAATAATTGCTATAGTACAAACTTTAAAAAAATAATTTCTGCATGCAGCCGCTAATTCTAAGCATTTCACTTTTATTCAGCAAACACTTTTATAGTACTTAACCTGGGCCAGGCTCCTTTCTTTGTTCCTAATAATTATTAATCCGTTTAGTTCCCACAAGCTTAGGAAGTATTACTTTAACCCCCATGTTATAGATGAGGAAAACTGAGGCATCGAGAAGCAAGGTAGCTTGCCTAGGTCACAAAGTTGGGAAATAGCAAAGTCAAGATTAGAACTCAGGAAGTTTGACTTCAGAGCCAAAGCTGTCAAGCACTGCAATGATTTATTTTTCCAGTGATGACTGCAAAGGTGTGTCTAGAAGATGATAGGTGGTGGGAGAAGTTTTTCGAGTTGGAACCTCTGTGTTCTCACAATTTCTTTCATCAATTTTCTTCTCCTCTTCTGCTACCCTTTAAAAATTGGTATTCCCAGTAGATCTGTTCTTGGTCTTTTCCTTTTTTATTTTACACATGTAGTCCAAGATGACTGGCCTTCGGTTTCAGGAGTAGAATTCAGGGGTTCATCACTTACATACAACACCCAGTGCTCATCACAAGTGCCTGCCTTAATGCCCATCACCCTTCTAGCCCATCCCCTGCCCACCTCCCCTCTGGCAATCGTCAGTTTGTTCTCTATCATGAAGAGTTTTTTTCCCCCCCTATGTTCATCTGTTTCATTTCTTAAATTCCACATGTGAGTGAAATCATATGGTATTTGTCTTTCTCTGACTGACTTATTTTGCTTAGCATAATACCCCCTAGCTCCACCCATGTCATTGCAAATGTCAAGATTTCATTCTTTTGACGGCTGAGTAACCTTCCATTATATATATATACCACCTCTTCTTTATCTATTCATCAGTGGACACTGGGCTGCTTCCACAGTTTGGCTATAGTGAATGCTGCTGCTGTGAACATTGGGGGGTGCATATGTCCCTTTGAATTAGTATTTTGTATTCTTTGGGTAAATACCTGGTAGTGCACTTGCTGGATTGTAGGGTAGTTCTATTTTGAACTTTTTGAGGAACTTCCGCCCTGTTTTCCAGAGTAAGCCCCATCATTTCTCAACTACATTTTCTCAATAACCCCCAAAGATCCTACATATAATTTCCCCAAATATGTCATATAATCTCACTTCCAGGATTTTTTATATATAAAGATGAATAATTTTGGAATGTTCTTCCTCTTCCTTAGTTTCCAAGTAACTTTTATTTGTCCTTCAGGACTCATGTTGTTTAAGATCTTCACTCTGACCTCCACCCAGTCTGGATTGCCAATCTTTTTTCTTCCAAAGGGTCACATATGCACTTCTCCTACAACTTCTGTTATCCTGCATTATGATTGTTGTTTAATTATTTGACTCTCTAGTTAGACTGTGAGTTTCTTAAGTGCAGAGATTAATTTATTCATATCCACACGTACATAATTATTTGTGTGTGTAAGTAAATATGTTAGATATGTAAGCATAATAGTAATATTATAGCAATATATGTGGTAAATGACAGAGACAAAATGTTTTCTAAACTGGAATCCTAAAACAATAACATTGATAACAAGACAATAAAACTCTCCTTTGTATCTTGTGGGGCCAACCATGGAAACAATACTCTAGTCGGCCTCCCCTTAAATTCCTTAAGAGATGTGAAAAGAGGGGCGCCTGGGTGGCTCAGTCGTTAAGCGTCTGCCTTCGGCTCAGGTCATGATCCCGGGATCCTGGGATCGAGCCCCGCATCGGGCTCCCTGCTTGGCGGGAAGCCTGCTTCTCCCTCTCCCACTCCCCCTGCTTGTGTTCCCTCTCTCG